TTATTCTAATAGCCGAGACCGAACGTACAGAAACTTTTCACCCGAGTTCAAAACCGAAAGCTTGAAAGATGTGTGGTGCCATCATTACATCTAAGTATTCGTGAAGAGTCGCAGCAGTTCGCCCACTTTTGAAATACGTTGCACAAACCTAACCTGTACCAAAACAGGATAAAGGCAGATTGTGGGTGTTTGAACAACACTGTCTACACAGTATTGCACGAATCTAGTGCTCGCCGAGACAACCTAACCAGGAGACTCGGTCACATATGCCTGCACGGGGACCTCGGAATGATCGTTACCGATGGTTAGATAGGCTGAGTGATATGGTTGGGTGTCGTAAATATTGGCAACATTAGTCAACTGAAATTCTCCATTTTCTATTCAATTTAATTTCATATTTCCTGTCTTTCTCCTAATGCTTCATCCAAATGGGTAGCCAAGAGACAGCAACCAAAACCGACGCACGAATTTGCATGTTTGATGATTGTACAAAGTGAACTGAACGGAATCTTAAGGAAGGCTCCGTTAAGCCCAAGCTTCTCAAACAGCATCCGCTGAGGAAACCCTACTCCCGGCCTTGGCGTGACGGCACTTTCACGTCAAACTGAGATGAAAAGCCAACATCTCGGGATACAACCGGGTCAGGGATGTCATCATCATCATCATCATCATCGTACAGTGAAATACAATGAAGCGAACTTCACTGATCGCTGCCAACCTCGTGATGCACACAAGGTTAGCAGTTAAATGTAGGGTGGACAGGGATTGGACTTAATTTGAGGAAGGGGGAAGAAGGTAAACTTCTATGGTCAACACAGGTACACAATCGAACTCTTCATAAATACTGGTTTACGCATTCTGGCCTGATAAGAAATGACAACAAGAACGCCACTGCTGTTGGTTCGCTGCCATATCTTGCAATGTCTTCAGCCAATCAGTTACGGAGTGTTTCGACCCAGACCGGAAAGGCGCGAGTTACCTACTCTACCCAATGGCTCCGTGCATTTCTTCATGCCTCGTCTCCGGGTCATCTGTTGAGCTCCAGCCCAGATTGGCTACAGCGAATATAGCGCGATGAGGCAGACAACATCTCGGCATAGCCAACGAAGTCTACTAATCTGAAATCGGTGTGCTGGCAGGTTTATCCCTGAAAGACTCCTAAATACACTACGGATTGCCACAGATTACCAATCGGTTCGCTTCATAACGCGTAGACTAACTACGTAAACACCGACCGTCAAATCTCCTAGTCGATAGATATCTTCTACTAGTAAATTCATGGGCTCACAATCTTAAAGAGTGACTGAATGAACGCTAGCACATTAAACACAACCATGAAGTGTCCGCTCGCATACAGAAGGCATGATTGACAATAACTGATTTAGGATATCTATGGAGCCGCGGCGAAATCCGGCTCTGTGGAAGGTGGAGCATAGGCTGCTTTGCGGTCCAGAGGTTTATTCAGTACAGGAACAAGATAAAGCCATTGCGGGTGTTGGGACACGCCATAGCAAACGGTTGAAATATGTAAATTCCGATGTCTGGGGCGTGTTATACATGTCACTAAATAGTTTACCACGGCCCGCCATCTTCGCTGAAGCAGTTAGTGGATGTAAGAAAGTCGAGGTTAGTCAAAATAAGACCTGGCATGAAGCTTTGAAAACCATAACCAGGTGACTCGAACTTATAGGTCAGGCTCCATGAATAGGGACCTGAGAATCATTGTAATTGATGGTTAGGGACAGTGAGTGATACGAAAACAGCAGTACTGTAAGCTCCGTGGATCTCTTTTAACGTACATCTTATCTGTCTGATTATTCGCTTGATTATTCACAATCCCAGCCGAGTTGAGCAAAACGTAAGCACCTTATCGTACGGGATACGTATATGAATATCAATGCGGTTATCAAGATTTCCCGAGTCTACGTAAATAAACAACGTAATATGAGCCACCGAGATCGCACGTAATAGTCCGATGTGTCATCGGTTGTGTGGGACCCTAGTCACCCAGACTGATGTCACAAGGTCAAGTACATAGATTGGCTGGGTTCACGAATGCGCGAATGGGTCAGAGTCGTGAGGTGACAGGTGCGGTGAGCGCGTGTATGGTGATATGACTGGTTGCCTTGTCCCAGTGCGTGTCGGCGTCGCATAACTGGTAAGCATTGTCACGGTGTGCTTGCGTGTATGTTGCGTGTCACATGACTGAATCAACGAGTGTGTACACGTGTGTAGATTGGATGAGCAGATGTGTGTGTGGGGTATGATAGCACCCGGTCGGGAAGCATGTCGGCCGCTGATTGAACATTCACCAGGACCACATCGTAAATCTCTGAGTTTACAAGCACTGTTGACTCTACCACTCAATGTCTTTGTAACCTTGGTCTTCATGAATTCTCCATTTATACTCTGGCTCTACTTTCAACATTGCAATCTTCCTTTTTCTCTTTCAACCAACTGGGCAGCCACAAGACAGCAACCAAAACTGCTGCAAGAAATGGCCTTTATACAGATAGAATAACTCCAATTGAAACTTCACGTTGAAATGCTAACTACTGTTCAGTGCAAATATCACTTAACCTTCGTGCCGTTTCGAAATTTTCCACTGATAATATCAACCATCGCACCAGTATGTTTTTATAATATCCATAATAATCATGACATTATCATTGTACTATGATTTATTTGGCTCAGTCTGGATTCGGACGTGTGTGAAAGACATATACACATCAGTGCATCCTTGTGAGATAAGACAAGTGCATACTTAGATCATTGTAGATTTATCTTACTGTGCAATAATATTTAACAGAAAAATCGACTGAACCTGTTGCAGTTTAAAAATTCCTTCTTGCTTGATTTCTTCAAACTGGGCTCCGTTTTGTGCCACGCAGGCTCTGGAGTCAATTGTTCCTATTTTGAAAAAACAGAAAAAATCAGAAAAGCAATGAACATCGACATGAACTCTAAAGAAGTGGTTTTAAACACTGAATGGGGTGCATTGGGGGAAGATGGTTGCCTCGCCGACTATCAGACCGAGTTCGATTTGTTGATCGATAAGAATTCAAACTGCCCGGGCAAACAAATGTGAGTATACTGATTGCATTAATTGAGTAATATTTTTCCATTCAATGATTTATTACAAAAGCACACAGAACTATGACAAAACGATACGTTTTCATTAGTTTTTAACAACACTGAGGAAAAGCAAATCCATGTCCCGTTATTTAAAAAACGCAAATGCATCCCATACAGTGTTCATGATCGAATGATGTATGAATGATTCTTCGAAAGAAGTAATCATGCCATATCGAAAGACGATTACTAATAGAAAGCGTAAATTTAGTTCTTTAGGACTTTAGCTCATTGTACACACCCATCGGTCAGTCTTGCGCACAAATCAGCAGATACGAGATTGAGAAAACGATTCGTTTTCTCAATGCTATTATGGGAATATTCAAGTTTTTAAGATATTAAATTGTTACCATTTATGAGACTCAGTCATATCACTCGGCTTCTCTAACTAATTACTAATCAGGCTGCTGTCGATGACCGCAATGGAGATTTTACGATGAAATAATCTATTTAATTCTTTGCAGGATTTCCCAAGATTATGGCTATGGACTTGAATAGTTTTATAGACAAAATGAATGAGATACACAGGCTTAACCTTGACTTATAACGAGAACATGGAATCAAGGTAACGTATTTGGCCAAATGTCAAACCGAAGTCAATGTCAAAGTTTTATTGTGGGAATAAATTACAAGCTCGTGCTTCTCTTGTCCCATAGGATATTTACACAGAGGAATCGGTACACATCGAAAAAGGAGTCACATAGAGTTCCGGGTAGGAAATAACAGAATGTAGGCTACAGTGAATTCCCGTTTGCTTTTAGTGGTGTACGAATTTGAGGTGTGTCAAGGTTTCGTCGAGTCTCTGCTTGAAAGATTCAATAGTGGGTGCACAAACGACATGAGATTGAACGGCGTTCCAAGATTTGCATACTCTGACTGCAAAAGACTGGCGCCGGCAATCCAGTCGACACTTGGGAATCAGTAGTTTGAAAAGGTGTCCCTTTGGTGTACATGTTCGATAACATGAGAAGCGATCGACACGGATGGTTTGGGTTCTTCAGTATTTGATACGCGTTCAATAACATGAGAAGCGATCGACACGGATGGTTTGGGTTCTGCAGTATTTGATACGTCAAAATCAAGTCTCCTCGAGTTCGGCGGTATTGAGCAGAATATAGTTCCAATGGTCTCAATCTGTCCTCATATGTTAGGTGATGCAATCCCTTGACTATCTTGGTGGTCATCCTTTGTGGACGCTCAAGCATCTTGTGATCACGTTGAAGCCATGGACTCCAAGCTTGGATGGTGTACTGTGTAGGGTCGAATGTACCCTGATAGCAAACCCGATTACATTACCACTTTCAAGGATGTAGAACAATAGACCCCGTCCAAGAGAAAACTCTATGTACACCAGTATCGTCAGACGGAGCTGATCAATCAGTGGAATGAACGGTGAAAAATATTATTGGCTTCGTTTTAAGAAGCACTTTTTTATTTTTGAACCACATGCTGGTTTTTTAAACGGATTTGCGGGGGTGCAGTCACCAAAATGAGAATGGAAATTAATTTAATGTACTGATGATGATGATGATGATGATGATGATGATGATGATGATGATGATGATAGGGATTCAAAGGCCTCGTTCTGTAATCGGACTGGAAACGCCCGAAGATGTAGCAAATCTTCCACAACCATGGCATTCATCCTTTCATTTTTGCTACGTCAACCAGCTTGAAGAGGCATGAATGTACAGTCATGTGTACTCAGTGTTGACCACAGTCAAGCTCCTCGTCTCACCACCCTTATCACTCCGCCTGCTTCTATCAAGAAGTGATCATCTTCATCCATTATTCATATTCTTGCTTTGTGTATATTGCGATATTGGCAGCGATTAGCGAGGATTAATCCGTTGTATTTCACTATAAGATGCTTATGTGATTACCTTGTTTTACTCATATATCCTTTTTGGGTTTTGGCCTTGTTTACTGCAGTCACCGAAAAGCCAAACAATGTAGATATCTTTTATCTGCATTTTTTATATCGCCTTCTTTTCATGAGTGAAACTCAAGTATACGACATAACAACACTCACTTTGAGCCTCCAGCATGAAATCGTGAGCTGGCAGAAGATAATGCGCGATTCGTCACGTTCCCGGATCCTTTCACCTCGGCAATCACACCCTGACGACGTTCAAGGAAGCTCGCGTCAAACTCATTCTCTTTGGTCCCTGAACTAGACGAAGTAGCCAGTTTGAACGAGTCGAACGCATCTAGGTGAATGGGATGGAAGAACAAACGAAAAACAAAGCATAACTCTGGCGGGAACACAAACTCATCGTCTAGTTGTAAACAAACATTGCACACAATTATGTCCCATCAGGCATCCTCGTCGAAATTGGATTCTAGCATTACTGTCCAACTGGGCGTGGCTCGTTTCCGATACTCACTCAACTCTGTCGAATCCGGAAGTGCTGCAGGTCAGCATACTACGTATACAACGGAATGCGTGAACTATTAAGTGATAAGTGCACTTACCGACCGCGATTATACCTGAATGTGCAGTGTGATCAAGTGCAAGGTTACGGTTCTTGGTGGTGACAAATCAGAACAAAAGACTGCAACAGATGAGATGACCACCAAGAGGACATACAATGAACAACCGGATCACCGGTGAATGTCCGTGAACTTTGAGTGCCATTTATTTGAACGCACTTGTAGCGGTAAAAACGGAGTGGTTATAGAAAGAGAGAAGTGCAAACGTGCATCAAGCATCACCCATCCACTCGCAATTTTGATAACCTGTTGAATTTTCAAGTGAAGATCAGCGGTAAATCACTGTTTCTCAATCGAGTGTGAATCGCTCACAACAATATACAAATCCCTACGATTTTAAATTCCCTATCACGGACATTTTTCGGTTACTAGTTGAATAGTATCTGTCTTCCACGTTGAGTCCTATCTGATCTGTTCTATGAGTATCGATCCCTTACTTAACTTTTCCATTTCCCCTCCCCCTATCCTTTATCCACATGGCTATCAACTAAGATTTGAATAGACTTCGTTCGGGATTTTCCTGTCGTCTAGATGCTGTATAACAGCCTCTCTGCGGGTCCTACGCATATCAGAGAGTTCTAGAATCATCCATTAGACAGGATATGCTTGAGACATTAGATTGTTTACGTGACCCTGCGAGCTACACAGGATGGCTTCTCACGGCCATAGATCCAATCATGCCTGAAAGGTCAACGGGTAGAGGCCAGACGAAGACCAATCTCACAAGGCCAGCTGCTTGGGCACCTCCTGGCTTCCTTCCTCTATCCACACCTGCCCCTGGAGAGGCCACTCCAGAAAATAAACACGGTGAGGGGCAGTTTAACGGTCGAAAACCCCCCGCTAGATGGACGTAGGTGCAGAGTATCTGGGGCTTTCTCTCGACAATGGGAGAATTCTTCGCACTTAATTGGACAACTACCGCCCGCCCAAGCTGGGCGGCCCCCAGCAAATAAGGTGCTGTTCCGTCCGCGTTCCGCT